TAATCCGCCCGTATAGAAACGGCCTCACCTTGCAGAGAGGCCTGCAGAGAGCAGCGTTCAGTGGCCTCTAGAAGGGCGAGCACGTCAGCTGGGTGGCTTTAGGGAGCTTAAGAAAGAACGAAGCCAGGACGTAGAGGTGCCGACACGTCGTTAAAGGAACCTCAACAGTCCAGAAGTTCCGAGTCGGTATTAATAATTAGAAACCAGCTTCCTCTAGAGAGGCCCTATAAGGCCGGTTTGGCAGCAACGCATGATGCCGCTGTTGTATATCTCACTAAAGCTACTTCTCATCATTCTAAGCTGTCTCAGGGGCCGGTGGCCATACCCGGCGCCATATACTCGCTTAGTCGAATCCGGATGCCGTATAAAATGTCAAAGGGTGGGCTGCTGTTCGTGCTTCTCTCGTCGAAAGAAGAGACAGTGTCAGGGATGATATCGTCTTCCGTAGCAGGTAGCTTTCCGTTCAAGCTTGTTCTTACCATGCAGTTGAATCCGGTCCTCCCGCCCAAGTTTGAATTCATACAGCGATCTCCACTGCGGATGATCCTTCGACTGCGGATACATCTGTCAGGGACCTAGCATCTGTCCCTAGTGGACTAGTATAACTAAACTGGTACCATCCGTTCCCACGCCCAACGTCCTTTCGAGACGTAACCCCACATACTATTCGTCGGCTCCATAGGCTTAGGCTAAGCTGAATCACTCAAGGGTGAGTCTGTGTGCAAGAAGAACCATAAGACGCTTAAGGCTGTGTGTTACGGTCAGCTATCCGACAGTAGGGTCTGCTAACAGAAGTTGGGGATTGACACGTTATAACAGTACACTGGGTCGTGGTCTGAGTCGTAGGTCGTAGGCTGTAGTAGATCAGGTCTTCAGAGGCTAAGGTGATCAGTCTTAGGTTCAACAAGTAATTCGCAGTGAAGGTAAGCTGAGAGTATCCGTGAGGATGTATACAAAGTTGATTGCTGAAGAGCTATGGAAGTCGGACCATGAGCCAGGCTCAGGTTATACTATATACAAGTTCTGAACAGTACCCTTTGTCCTATCACTGATCCCTCACTAGGTACTAGTGAGCGCTCACTGACTGCTGGTGAGCGCTCAGTAATTCCAACTGAGCGCTCAGTGATCCACACTGCCTGCTCAGTCTTATCTTATCATCACGTGACTTGTACCATAGTTCTTCCGTCTCCGAGTGAGTCCCTGCTGTTCCCGTGATCCTGCAGTACAAATGTCCTGTCCTAGCCGCCTGATGACCTGGTGGGTCATGCAGCTGTTATCCTTGTTTACGGGTCGTAACACTGTGTTAGGTATGTTCTATAGAGGAGAATGATTGCAACGAGGTGAGGACCAAGAGCGGTATAGGGGTGAGAGTTGACTGTCAAATGAGGGACTGTATCGAGTTTCGTCGAAATTCCATCATAATACCGAGTACTGTATACAACTAACATCGCTTGGGTGCTGTCATCCGATTTTGATTGCTCTCTAAAAGCGGGGGGGGGGGGGGGGCGGCGGCCGCACACGGATCTCATGCATTCAGCCGAACCACACACGTAACCAGGAACTCTTTGTTGCTCACAATCATACCCAGTACACCTTTTACTGACCTCAATAGATGGTCTTCTTGGTGTGTTTAGAAGACTGCTACTTCTCAGGTAGTGGGGAAAAGTGTGCAGGTGATTATGTTAGGGTGACTATAGCGGTAGATTCGGTGAAGACGGCTGTGTCGCAGCAGTAAAGGCGAAAAGTATTGCGCTGACCTGGGTTGCATGACACCTTCTGGGGAAGAGACCTTTTTTTCTTTCTTTCCCTTTATCACAGGCGTTGCTGCCGCTTCTATCGCAGGCGAGTTTGACGTCCCCTGCTACGCAGGTTTAGAGTTCAAGCGAATATGACAAGAAAGGTGGAATGGATACTTATTGGCCCTTCGTCGTGGTTTGCTGGGCCTGGAGATCGAAAGGTGCGAGCTCACACATACACTATAACAAAGAGGTCTTTTAAGTATGCAGAAGGCCAGCTGTCCCAACACAAACGACATGGCAGTGCTTTGGATTTCATGCTTGTAGCAACATACTAGGAAGCTGGCATAAGACAACAACCATTTACAGTAGCTATGCGAACAAGCGTGTAATCCAAGATTGCCCCTAGGATAGGAGAACCCCATTCTTGGACTCTGTTCATGTGTGGTTTTGGCTAGGAATATCATGCTAGAAAGGTTTACTAATTAGTAAGCCATCTGCGATAGCTAATCATAGTAGTGGTAACCAAAGCACGGAGTGAGTGCCGTATTACAGATGGTACTGCAATGGCTGCAGGCCCGACCAAACTCCACTACTATGAGGCGGTCCCCGCGGTCTTCGCGGCCTCGCCTACCCGTAAGGTCACCGGACAACACAGGCGGACAATATACCGACCGAAACCGAGGCCTACTAGATAGGTGCGTGGCCTAAGATCGACGCTCGACCCACTACAAAGGTAAGCAGAGCTAGAATCAAGCCTCGAGACTCCGTTACTCATCAGTGAAGAACTCTCTGACGTCTCCAATGCCAATCATCCTTCCGAGGAGGACAGTTAATGAGGGAAAATACAAGGCCCCTTATCGCTAAGCCATGAGCTAGAACCGTGCGACTAGCAGCAGCATGACAAGGGGCGAGAAGCCCCGCCTATAAGTAATGCAGCCGCCACGACGACGGTCCTCTGTGCTGCCCGACGGCATGTGGAGATTGGATCCGTCAAGTACGGAGACACCCGCAGTCACGCGCCCACGGATGCGCCGGGCACTCGGATAGTGCCTGTGCCATTGTACTGGTGGACTCGATATTCATGATGGCCCCCTTACCATGTACAAGTCGGCGCAGCTAGATGCAGAGCCTCAGCCCTTTTGGTTGCTTGCTCGTCCTTGTTGCCGAGCCTGGCCTTCACCAACGTCCCCTATTACGCTCCATAGAATGGAGACTACAGCAGGGCATCCGAACAGGGGTCGTTTGTGTGCCCATTTGCCCTAGAGATAGTGCTGATCGGCGAGGTGTCGTTGTCTTGACTATTCTGTGGGAAAGTTGTTACGGTCAGCTATCCGACAGTAGGGTCTGCTAACAGAAGCTGGGGATTGATACGTTCTAACAGTACACTGGGTCGTGGTCGTAGGTCGTAGTTCGTAGGCTGTAGTAGATCGATTCTTCAGAGGCCAAGGTGATCAGTCTTAGACTCAACAAGTGATTCGCAGTGAAGGTAAGCTGAGAGTATCCGTGAGGATGAATACTAAGTTGATTGCTGAAGAGCTATGGAAGTCTGACCATGAGCCAGGCTCAGGGTCATTATATACAAGTCTAGTTCTGAACATGTTCCTTTGTACCTTGGGTCGATCTGGATCATTTCGATCCAGAATGATCGTTTGGCCCCCAAGTCGTGTTGGATCATATTGATCCAATATGATCGTTATCTTATCATCACGTGATTTGGACCATAGTTCTTCCGTTACCGAGTGAGTTCCTGTTGTTCCCGTGATCCTGCAGTACAAATGTCCTGTCCTAGCCGCCCGACGCCCAAGTGGGTCGGTCAACTGTTATCCATGCATAACGGGTCGTAACAAAAGTCTTGCGCACAGCACGTTTTATAACAATCTCGCTGCAGCCTGCTGGTCGCTAATGACCACGGTCCTCTCGAGTCATGGATACGAGAGATACGAGAGTGATCTCCGGACTTCGCATCCGCTGGCTTTGCGTCATGGTCACAACATCAACTTGAGGTGGCGGACTCTAGCTACACAAAACCACCACTATAGCCACCACGAATACCATGCCGATACAGAGAATGAAAGTCCAATCGCGAGGAGGGAGGAAGATATACCTATGGCTGTGACTCATGTTAACTTGGGATGAGTGGGCGACCAACAAGAACAGAGGGAGAGGATCACCACCTGCGACGGAAGGCTGGGTCTAGGTTTGGACTGTGCGGATGAGACTTTCCTACTAATTTCAATTCGATTCCACAATGTCTGGCTGCTTCTGTGGTCATTCCAGCTGCCGTTCTCGTCTCAATTGATACACTACGGCTAGAACAGAGGTCAATGCCCCAGTAAGATTAGCACTCCCAACCTAATCGAAAGGAAAAGAAGAAGAAAAAAAAGAAAAGAAAAAAAGTAAAGACAAAAACCGGCTAGGAGGGGCACTGTCAGACTGGGTGGCCGGCCTGGCCCAACTGGCAAAAAAGCCAGATCCACTCGCTTTAAACCATCCTTATCCCTGCCCATCTACCACCCCCTAGCGCGCTTCACAGCAAGGGAACTTTTGACCGCTGTTTCGGTTCCGACGGTACTGGCCGGGGGGCCACATCGGTCCATGTCAAATTGAAGACAGGCCCGGAAACCAAGCACTAATATCCGTCATATAGTGCTATTCGTCCAACCTTTTTATCACTTGTTGAACCCAGGCCAGTTTGGGCTTGCCAGTCGCTGCGCCTCTCCTTGTTCTCTACGAGCAACACTCTAGGGCAAACTTCCTCATCTCTTTTCGTTGGCAACTTTTGACAGACATTGGTAAAGCGTTCTTGTGTTTATGGCTTATACGGCGTCCGGTGCCAACCACCCATCCGCTAATAAACTCATCGTATATTTCCAGCCTGCTCACGGACTCCTCCGAGCCACTTCGTCTTATCCTGTTTATGAATCGCGTCGTTACACTTGTTCAGTCCCCGATAGCCTTCACGAAAGCCCGCAGCTACCTTATTCGTCACACGGCATCTGCATCCTGCTGTTGCCGACGTAGGAGCAAGAACGACCCATACTCAAGACGATGGCCCCATATACTTGGCCTGAAGCCAACAGTTCACGGCAAACTATGATGGTGTCGCCTGCGCAGAGACTAGGTGATGGGCAGTTGATCAAGCACCTGGTCGATAGATACGGCATGAACGCATTAAAGAGCCTGGTCCAGGAGTCGATTGCTTCTCCAGTGCCGGCTGAACGCAACGCAGCTCCCGATGAAGCGTCAAGTATTTATACTGCGATGTCATCCACGGGATCAGCCGACTTTGGCCTATGGGAATCCGAAAGAGTACGCTATTCTCCCCTCCAATCCTCTACTGCCGGGGTGGCAGTGCCAAAGGGCTCTCGGGACGGTTCGAAGCCCACGAGCAGACACATCCAAGGTGGGGACCTTTCCGTTGCCACCTGCACCTCGGCAACGCGGCGGGCTGGACGTATTCGGGTGAAGCAGCGGGTGCCGGAACCGCCGACAGTGGGGACGTCATCCGCTGATCTAAAGAAATTGAAGCGGAATGGGTATTTTGTGTGTGGATTGTGCGGGGAGGAAGGTATCATCAAGACCTGCGCAAGGAAGAGCGACCTCAAACGACATATCGAAGACTTTCACTACAACGACGCTCAGTGGTTCTGCCGCCACTATGGCTGTCATATGGTGTTTGATTCACAGGGCGTCTACAAGGTACACTTGAAACAGGTCCACTGCGATTCTCTTGTGTCCGTAGACGTAGCCAAGGTCAAACTCTGCCCGCAGGTGGTATTTGCCTGCGGCTTTGACGGCTGCTTGCAAGTGTTTGAGGCCCCGGAGTACACCAACGCCAGCCCGACCTTCAAAAAATACGTCCGTCATGTGGCCGAGCACTTTGAGCAAGGCGCCAGTCGTGGCGGATGGTCGTACTCTACAAGGATGGGCAATCTGCTCCGTCAGAGCCAGGTGCAGCTCACCTGGAACGAGTGGACACAGAGCGAAGCATTAAGAACATCTCTCAAGTGGACCCCTCAGACGTCCAACATCTTGCGGAAGAGATTAGAATGCCGGCACATTGGCGACATTAAGCTGCTCGTTCAGTACGCCTTTCTTCTAGGCACTGATCCCGACAGCATCAGCAGATTTCGCGAGGACTTCGTCACACCCGTCGCCAGTACGTGCAGGATGCATATGACCGGCCAGACACCTATGCAACAAGTTATAGAGTCCGGCGAACTGGCCGAGGAGTCCTTTTTAAAAGTCTCTAACGTGCCGCACCTTCAGACCACATCCGCAGCCTCTCGAGCAATGCCAACACAAGCGCAGTCGGGATGGCCTCCTCATCCCCATCAACAAGCGTACTATGAGTTTCAGGCGTTGAATGCTATGGCCAGTCCGGATCCAACAATAGCTGTATCCCTGATGTATCATCCCCATCAGGGCAACATGTACGATGGCCAACAGTCTACGCGCAGATCCATTCACGATGGAACGTTAAGGTATCATTGACCAGAGCACGGTCAGGTCGGTAAACGCCAGGATGCACACGTCAACATCCTCTCTTCTACTTAGTTCCCCCCTCCTCCGGCCCCCCTCCCTGTTTCTAATAGTGGCTCTTGTATCACTGCATTGAGAAACCCACGTCATCAGACACCCATGCTAGACATTCTCTGTCTAGCTAACTCGTTCATAAGCCGGATTTGCAGTTGGTTCCCCGGCCTCCCCTGCGGCGTGTAAAGAGGTGTTATACAATGCTCAAGGCCAAGTGTCGAGGATAACCTGCTGCTTGCATAACGGCACCGTCTTAATTATGAGTTCACTGTTCGAGACCTAACTATTGCAGCCGTCCTACGAGGTGCATTTTCCGCCTATGATTGGTGATGAAGTTGCCCTACATAAACTAGAACGTGTTGTTTTGACACCAGGACAGCGCGCCTGATGTAGCAGGCTGATGACCGACATAGTCAAGCGATGGCTGGACTGGCCCTATGGGAGCCTGCTAGTAAGTTTGTAGGTGTGTTTCTGCTGGAGAGTAGGCCGACCGTTGAAGCTCGGTAGCGGGCACAAAGTGACGTCCAGTCTTCTAGTGTATTTCCTAATTACCCAGTATACTCTTCCATAGGAGTTTCGTATATAAGCATCCAGTACCCGTAGCTAACCCTTGTATTCCCCTCCTGAGATCATACTAACTTTAGGAAGAAGAAAAAGCCAGATGCGAGCAAGCGAGCCGGCAGTGCAGCTAACTGTAGCGCAGAGCAAAGGCTTCCGTGATGATGTCTCTGACCCAACCATTCCCTGCTCCGTGCTATATAGGTACTTGGTTGATACTGACAGCTACACTTATGCTCTCACTGGAAGATCCAGTTACTTTACCCAATCAAATCACGTCTTGATACTGCTACAAACGCTTCGCTCAATACTATTGCGATAGCACGAGTGTCTATTTGCTGGGGATTTTGTTCTTGTTACTGCCTTAACCCCTTAGTAGTAGCTAGCTAGCAGTGTAACTAAGAGGGCCCTGCTAGGCTGCTGGGCTACCGAAAGAACGAGGTAGGACCGTAGGAGGCTGCAATCAGCGGCTCCCGTCGCTAGAACCCCCGCTAATTAGTGCGCGGACAGCAGAGACACCTAATCCTAGTTGGAAATAGTACTACAGAGTATATTAGGGGGCCCGTCTGTCGCAAGCGCTAACCAATTCAAACGAAACCCACTCCGGACACAGGCTTGATCACTTCCATATAGCCGAGGATTGCATGGAGCTACGATGCCGGTCCTTCAGGGGTAAGACCCATGTTTCGCTCGGTCTCGGTCACGAACACCTCCTTGCAAAGGGAAAAAGAACATATACCTCCTCAGGGTTTCCAAATATTAGCGCCATCCTATACTAGCCTTCTTTAGCAGGAATATTCATCATTTTTAGAGGTCTTAACAGGGCCTTATGGGGGCAAAAATACAACACATCTTTTTCTGGAGATTCTTTGAGCCCAGGTCCAGAGAAAGTCCAGAAAACGATATGTCGCCCTCCCCCTAGATTTCTGTGAAGGTAACATACCCCAGTACTAACTAGGCGTTTCTACCGACGCAGAAGTGACGCGCTAACATCTTGAATCCCTGGGGAGGTATGGAAACAAAGGGAGAAAAAAGGAGAAAAAAAAAAAAAAGAAAAAAAACACAGAAGAGGCTGTTATTGTATGTCGAGATGGCTAGTCTTACTAAGGATCCTATATCTATTACACACCTTGAAGATGGAGAACATTTCAGCAGCAGCAGCGGGCAGCATGCTTCGCCAAGGACGTCAAGGTTCCCCTCCGGCAGCCTCGGTAGTGTTCGCCAAGCCTATAATTACTGCGAGCAGATGGTCCTGGTCTGTCACCCGAAATAAAGTTCTGACCGAACTAGGTGGTCCCTGTAGACGGCGGTCGACGCCTTCTACCATGGGATACTCTCTGTGTCTACTGCGTAACTACAGTCTGAAACCCCCCCCCCCCTGATATAGTGTGACCCTCATTTCGGTATGAGGCGCTATGCTTACCATGACTTCAAAGCGTAAACTTTGCTCCCGCAAGAGAGGCAAACCCAATCCCTTTTTTTTTTTTTTTTTGCCTTCTCTTTTCTTATTTCTTTCTTTTCTCCCCTAATCCCCCCTTCGTCTTGGCACCTGTGCGGCACTCCTCCCGCCCTTCCGTGTTGAAGAGCTAACCTAAGAGTGCGATCGCTCTATCCTTCGGACGGATCTATATAGCTCAGTCCCACTACGGTAACCCTGGCTCGGCTCGAAGTTTTCTTTACATTCCCTTCCTCTCGTCTCTCAACGAGCGCCATCTCTCGCTAGGGCACCAGGGAACAGCGAATAGAATGGAAGGCCGTCCCGGCGCCAAGTCAAGCGACAGCCGACGAGCTGTCATGGTTGGTATCACATCGTTTGCGTTCGCATTGGCTCTCTTCGCAGTGATCATGCGAACGTACACTCGCGTGTTCTTGCTGCGAAGATTCGGTGTTGATGATAGCGCTGCTATCCTAACCTTCGTGAGTTAACCCACTTAACACCCATTTTCGTACCCACACCCAACGTCAAGCCAATATTGTTTCCTAGTTTCTCCTCTTCGCTTGCTACTTCGCAGTTGCGATCAGTGAGTTTCTTACATTCTAGCCAGGATGGTGAGAGCATAGCTGACGCGGATCTTCTAGACCTGAGGAACGGCCTCGGTATGCATGTGTATCTACTCACTGAAGACCAGATCAAAGAGTATCTAAGGGTATAGCAGCCCTCGTTGGCGAGGTTTGACGTGTCTTGTCCACTAACAGTTAGTAGACCTTCTATACCGCGGTCGTCTTCTATAATGCCGCCCTCGCTGGCGTCAAAATGACGTTCTTGCTCCAGTACTGGCGACTATTTGCTGTGCAAAGAATGAGGAAGTTGCTGTTCGGTGCGATGATCCTCGTCGGGGGTTGGAGCATGTCACAAGTTCTGGTGGAGGTCTTGATCTGCATCCCTACGAACGCCTTCTGGGATAAGAGCGTCCGAGGCAGCTGTATCCCGAACTACCCTCTGTGGTACATCAACGCCGCAGGGAATATCGCCACCGACCTGATAGTCTTTGTTCTGCCGTTACCGGTTATCAGCGGCCTGAAGCTGCCTTCAAGACAGAGATATGCTTTAGGCGGAATCTTTTGCCTCGGACTCTTGTACGTGCTCTATATCGACAGTAAATGTCACATTGACACCAATCTCACATGGTTGATAGCACGTGCGTGATTTCGGCTGTCCGGATACAACACCTCCATCAGACCGCAGACTTCACGTGGGAAAACGTGCAGACTGCTGGGTGGTCCATCGGCGAAGTCTGTAGTGGGCTGATCTGCGCGTGCCTTCCGACGCTCCGGCCCCTCGTCGTGAAGGTTATGCCCTCTCTGTCGAATCCCGTCAGCGGGTTCTCCCGACACAGGATGCAGCACGGCTTCAGCTTCAAAAGGACAGCTTCTATTGCGAAGCAACCTGAGGCCGAGCTTGCCATTATCCCGCGCGAAATCGGCCCTGGCGATAGCCCGAATCGTCGCCACACGCCACGGCTAGGTTCCTCTGATAGCGAAGTCGACCTTTGCGGCGCCATAAGCTACGATCGCAGCCGCGCTGACCTAAGCTGTGACTTGCCGCTGTCGCTCCAAGGGATCTCGGTGGATATCGATGTTCCGCCGCCGTCGGCGACGGTTTGGACTCAACACCGGGATGCAACTGAAGTCGGCGGTCATGGCCGTGGGCAGTCAGTGGGTGTGGAAACACGGACCGAGGCCGACCGAAGACGTAGTAGCAGGCCTGCGAGACAGTCGTCAGGCTTCATCAACATTAGGCTTGACGTTGTGGAAGGCTCGTTACCACAACCCACGATGGATGGATGGATACCCATGAGCGTGGCTGCAAGTGGGTGGCGAATGTCCTCGTCTGAGACGGGGAAATCGAGGAACGCCTAGCTAACTCCATTAACGAAATTTCTCGCTACCCAGAAGCCTAGGACAACTAGAAGCGAGGAGGGTTAAGGAAGAGGAGCAGCGGTCACTCAGGCAGCTCCTGCCTAAGCTCCAATTCTCACCAGGAAATTCGGGGTTACTGATACAACTCGGTGTTCACGACAGCCATTCTTACTTGCTCTCACCAAACTTGGTGGGTCGAGACCGAGACAAGCGAAATCTACCTGAGTTCAAGAAAAGGCAAGCATAACGGGGAGAGATTGATTGCACCAGACGTCAGTCACTAACTAGTAGGAAGCGTGGCGCGCATACAGGGACCCGTTATTTAGATGGTTGCATCTATAGGATAGGATACATTCTTAATCGATCGTTAATATACAAGAAGAAAAGAGAAAACGAAGGGAAAGAAACCGGATCGAACCATGCGAACGCAAAAGCAGCTGTAACAGACCCCGCGCCAAACATCCTGAACTAACACTTTACCCCCAACCCCCAACCCCCACACTGAGACGAGAGCTGGGCTAGCGGTTGTTTCCTCGAGCCTGCGGAGGGCTGTTCCAATATCACGAAACAACCGTGAGTACGTAGCAATACGCCTCGAACTTCTACAGATGGTGCTGCTGGTCCCAGGTCCGCTTCCGGCGGTGGAAACGTCACCAACGGCAGCGGCCCCCGCGCATCCGCATTGCAAAGAACGTCAGATTTGGAGGAGGCAGGCACATTTTAGCTTGCCGTGTGGAGGAGACAGCAGCTTGCAGCTCGCGCTTGTCCTAGCCCCTGCCGCATGGCCGGCCGGCTAAGCTTCTCTGGACTCGTTTTCGTTTCCTCACACGGGTCTGGAAGGTTGACTCTGCCCCCGAGCAGTCAACATGATGTCTCCCGCCGGCAGAATGCCGAGGCT